AATTAGTTCCAAATCACTGAGCCAAGTTCCGTCCAAAACTTCAAATAGGCCTACACGATGACAGACATAACACAGCAATTCAGCTAATAATCAGCTAATTAAGTCGGTCAACGGATACGCGAAAACAAATTCATGACAGTTCGATGTGAATACTTCAGGAGATAATCATCGAACCACACGGTGTACGTAGTACTCATTACAGGATTTGTCTTTTAGCGACGTCTAGCGCATCTAATTATTTCATCAATGTAATTTTATTACACTTTGTGTAACGTACATCAATTAAATTGTTTATTTAGACGGAAAGGTTATATTGCGTTTCATTTAGCTGCAGTTGATTCCCTTGTGCATGCGCGTCATGTATAAATAGTCAGAACCCCGAAAGTATATCTGCCAAACGTCGCAAATCTGTGGTGAAACGTCACAAGACTTTTACTACGCGTATTATTTGCGTATTATCAAGTTATCAATTATCAAGTTCCATGTATGAACACTGGTGTATAGAGGCGGCGGAGCGCCAGTTTAGCCAAAATCGGCTAGTAAGGCGTCATATGACATAGGTCTGTGCTGGGACAGCGCTTCCTGTGACGACACAACGGGTGGGACGTCTTTGAAAGAAGTTCTACTCTGACTCATCGACCAATCAACGACGAGGAAAAATTCGCGTGGTGGAAGAGTTATATTCATAGAATTAAAACTCTGCCTGGGAGATTGCATCGTGATTTCTGAAATGTCGGTCGCCCATAGCTAGTTGATACCTATACAAATATTAAACGTGACAGTAATTTCGGAAAGAATTCTTGAATATAAATACGCATAAACCATTGGAAGTGCGAGGAAGCAGCTACTGAATGAATAGAGAACATTCTGGACGTTGTCATTGAAACTTGGACAGGAGAGATCTTGCGATAAAAAATGTTTGTTATATTCGGTATAGTAATATCATGATTGACACAGGCCTCGGTCGATATACAGATTTTCGGGTCGACAAATATATATACACTTTATTCAGGTATCCTCGAAAATGTTTTCAAATTTGTTTGTATCCAAATCATACTGGTCCTAGGTGTAGGTAACACACTAGAGTGATGAAACAATGACGTATCTTGTTGTGTCCAAATATTTTGTAAATTATTAGCCAATGACATGTATTTGTTAACACTTATCATCAATGTATCTACATACTAGGTAAGATTGCGTTACCATAAAGCGGGTGAAACTCCGGTCAGTTAAATCATTGACCCCACCATAAAGGTGCAGTCTCTTGAGGTTATTCTAGCAGAATCGAACACTGTTTCCGGTTTTCATAAACAATATCGTTTTCTGAACTAGTTTTAACAAGAACATGATAAAATCAGTAAGAAAATGATATATAGCCCATTGAAAATTGGAGAATCCGCAAAATATGATGTGGTCAGTGTAACAAGTGCTTTATGATAACACACTTCAAACATCGGCCTGTTTTTGCTAAGCCTGGTCGACAGGCACGCGTCTTAAATCAAAATGCCAATTTCAGAGAGGGGTACTTTTGTAGGGGTAAATTTTGTTTTCATTCTGGCACAGGTGAAATGTATGTTTTTGCCAGAAATGTCGTATTAAAGACTTTTTAAGCTATTAATCCCGTTATACAATATTATTATTCAAACCCTTAATTCAGTCAGGATGAACAGAGTGTTGCGGGATTTTGGAAATATTCTACTACTTTCGCTGTACGTTCGAGTACAGTGAGTTCAAATATGGTACAAAACGTTGGCCAACATTACGGGTAACTACACATGTGGCTTAATTCATGTCACCGAAACCCTCTGAGAGCTTACATCTTAAAAACGGACTTCACATTTAGGATAAAGTATTGGGGTCAAAATATATTCTCTCAGGCACAAGGCCGAAAAGCAATGCATATTATTTTATCGAATGCTTCATAGAAGTAAAAATAATAATCTTCTGGGCTGGCCTCAGACATCCTTAAAGTTGTATTTATTTTTTTCTATCTGTAAATATTACTGGTCTTAAGTGCTGATGTGTGCTAACAAACTGAGTGAGGAAACATCGATGTATCCTGTTTTTGTTTTTTTTCAAATAGTTGAAAAGGAATGTAACTACAGGAGTTAGCGTTCGTCGTTACCAGAGTAGATAACTGACCACCATGATCAACTCATGTCTCAGTTTCAGTACCAGGTGTTCGGAATGAGTAAGTATACCTTACTGAGTATACACACCAATCGTAATTGGTATCTTATCGCAATACATGACAAGTTATAAGTGATTTGTATAGAGTCGATCAAAATTAAAATCATTCATAACGCATAGCGTGTGAACCATTAAGTTAATCCCACCATTTTTATAGTGCCACAATGTTTATCAAAACAATTTTCAAAAGTTAAC